TCCTTTGCCCAGGCTGCTGGCGGGGGTTTGAGCGTCTCAGGGGACCTTTAGCGAGCGCCTGTGTTTTCCCCTAAAGTCAAAGAGAAAAAGTGAAGCTCTATTTTAGCTCGTCCCTGAAGTGAGCGCGATGGCAGGCGCGCCTGGAGCCGGGTCACCACGCTGTCCCCAGGGCCAGCTTCGTGCCTGCTGCAAGGACAACAGGCAGGGTGTTTTGGGTCTAGTTCTGCTTTATTTGGGTCTTGCTGTTCACAGCTCTTATAACCTCCCCCTGCTGACTCCTGGGCTTGGGATACTGTCGAGGTTCACAGAGTCTGTTGGAGGGACCTCCCTTCACTTCTCCCTCCCCCCTGCACCGTGGGGGGTTGTCCCCTCGGTCCCCCCTGTCCCCGGGAAGCCTGGGCTGAATGGGGTTGATCACTTGTGAAAAGTGACAAGTCACCGAGGGGGAAAGCTGCAGCCAGGGGAACAAAGAGCAGCTCTGCCCCCGCGTCCCTCATTTACAATTCCAATGGGCCATGAAACGCCCGACCAGGGTGAACTTCGGCTGTCCCAGGCCCCCAACACCCTGCTCCTCCTGTCCCCCCACGCAGGACTTGGGTCTTTCTTGCCTGATGTTCGTTTATCCTGGACACGTGTTGCTCCTGGTGCAGCAGAGAGGCAGAAGTAAAGCCCATCTCCATTTTGGGGGACCGGGCACATGAACACGGGTGCAAAGCTCCTTCCTGTACAATGGTATTGGAAGAGCCTTTAGATCCTGTAATCCCTGCTGGAGGTCACAGAGTGGTTTTGCAGAGCAAAATGTTGTGGGACGGCAGCGGGAAGAACGTCTGGAGGCTGTGAGGAGCCCTGGAGGGGGGTGACCAGGGGCTCCCAACTGATGGGGATTTTCTTTATTTTTTTTGCCATGTCCACTTTGAGCAGAAGGTGAAGAGATCGACGTGGTGACAGTGGAGAAGAGACAATCGCTCAGCCTGAGGAAGCCGGTCACCATCACGCTGCGTGCCGACCCCTTGGACCCCTGCATGAAACGCTTCCACATCTCCATCCACCAGCAGCAGCACAAC